TATATATATATATAAGATTTGACTTGTAAACTTTGAATAATTTTTATCGCTCCATTATAAACATGGTTTACAAACAGATTTCATCAAATTATTAAAAATGATGAATTTTATTTACAATGTTTTTTTTTTTAATATATTTATGATAAATGTAAATATGAAATTATAAGATTAATGGTTCAATTACAATTTCCTAAGAAATGTACATTTAGAAGTATAAATTTATTTTTGGAGCCATTTGATATCGGTTTTGGATGTTATTTTTTATAAGTCCTCGGCAAACTTGAAGCTAATTTGCCACTTTTAGAACTCAGCAGATTGCTCGAAGATAGAAACATTTAAAGAGGGACAATAACATTCAAATCTTCTCAAAGTCAAATGGAAACTATCACAAATCACAAGCTTCTCAAAGCCAGCACGCAACCATTACAAGTCACCACGCAACGCAAATCACAAATCACCACAAACACAACCATCACAAGCTTCTCAATACCAAATGGAAACAAGAAACCAAAAAATTTCACAAAAAAATCCAGTGCACTAGACTCGAGTGTAACAACTACTTACGGAGCACCGCAACAGAAGATCAAAGAGAGGATAGAGGAGGAGGAGGAGAAAGGCAAAGATCAAGAGAGATCTCTTAGAGGGAGACAGTAGCGATCGAAGAAGAATGGGAGGAGGGTACGGGACGAGGGCACGGGAGGAACGTGGGCCGCAGGGGGATCCCGCGTTTGGCTTTAGTAAAAATTTTAGACGGATTACTTAAAAACGCAGTGCAACGCATTCGCCAAACAATCTCTTATGCGTTTTCAAAACTCAACGCGGGCAATAAGCTCTCCCAAACGCAACCTAAATCTCATTACTCAAAAGCATAGTTTCAATATTGGGCTTCTTAAAACTCAGTATTGTTGTATATATGAAGCTAGTTTCCTCCACCGAACATATTTATAATCATCGCTAAAGTCCTTTCTTAATCTATTTCTCTTACTTTGTTCAGCCTTAGATTTAGTCAAATTTAACGTTAGGAATGTGTTGGTGAAAGGAAAGATGCTATCAAAGCAAGCTGCATTATATATATATATATATATATATACATACATACATACAGACATACATACATACAAAGTTAAGAACGGCAAAATTAAAATAATTAAATTTTGTGCAAGTTTTTATTTTTAATTCTAAAATTGATAGTATAGTTACACTTCGTGGGATTTCGGCGGCCAAGCAATTGCAGAAAATGCCCATATCCGATAATTAAGTCTGATAGGGTGTAAATTAGCTGATCAACATGAGTGAACTGAGCTAATGTTCGTGTTCAGTTCGATTTAAAATTTGAGCCAATTTTTGTGCATGTGATCCAAACTTTCGGCGGGAGGAAATTCAATTAAAAGAGAAAAAAAAAATCCAATGTTCATGACTAAAACATCAAATTACCGTTATTCTTCCACAGTCCATTAATGGATGTCATAAAACATCAAATTTCCAAGATAAAATTAATTGCTCGTTTCTTGCCCATTCGGAGGAGAAAAATTTGTGTAGCGTTGCGTACATGATGGATGTTATATTCACGTTATATCCGCGTTATATCGTCTGTAACCTCGATGTAACCTCCATATAACTTACATGTAACATACTTGAGCTTACAAATAAGTTCCACGTTACAAATAAGTTCCACGCTTCTACTATTTTCACATATCTGTAGGTTACATGTAGGTTACATGGAAGTTACATGGAAGTTACATGGAGATCATAAGGGATATAACATGAATATAATGACGATATAACACGAATATAACCTCTATTATGTACGCAGTGTTGCGTACGTCTTATGTACGTAATTTTTTCCCATTGGGAGGCCGTCTTGAGAAATAAATAATTAAGGGCCACTAAAATAAAAATTTTATTGATTTTTATATATAACACTAAAATTTTATTTAGTACATTTATATACACTGAAAATAATATCATTTTAAGTAACAAAAAAAAAATTGAAATACAATTTGTTATGCATGGATATGATGACATATACAAATATAAATTAAACTTTGGATGTCAGATATATAAATATATAAGAATTGAGTGGTATATATGTACTTAAATCTTCTTATATTTGTAGATACTGCTCAATTTTTATATCTTCATCTATTTTTTTGCTCAATATTTTAAAAAAAAGTTTACATTCATACCACTCAATTCTTATGTATTTGTATATCTAACATCTGAGCTTCAATTTATCGAATAATCACATCTTATCCATGCATCATAAAGTGTATTTTATTTTTTAAAATTTAAAATAATTATACTTTTTATGTGATGTGAAAGATTTGGGTGCTATAAATGTAAAAAGTAATTTAAATAAGAGATATATAAAGATAAAAATCGATTTTTATATACTAATTTTCTCGATTTTTATCTTATATTTTCGGTTTTGTTTTTTATTTAATAATCATAATAATTATTATTATTAATTGAAAATTATTAAAATTATTTAATGTTTTTTGTTTTCGGATTTAATTATTATTATTATTATTATTATTATTATTATTATTATTATTATTATTATTATTATTATTATTCTAAGTTAAAAACAGTTAACAATGCTAACAAATATTTAACAGATATTAAAAACCTAAATACAAATAAAATATCCACAACTAAATAATAAAATATAATATAAAAAAACTTTGATACGCTACCAACAAATTTTCATCATCTGTATGAATCTCGGAGCATGACACAAATCTGCAGTGTATAAGCGATGCTGACCTTCAACGCCTTCATCTCTTGTGTTGTTGCTGGTCTAGGTCTCATTTCAAGTGAGAGGTAGAACTTTATTTATAGAGTCAATGTTACAAGTAAGTAAGGAATCCAGATCACTCGGATTGGACAACAATGAGAGATTCTCTTAATCGGACGGCGTTTGATGGACAATTAACTATTTTAATGAAGTTGAACTTGAGTGATATTAGTCTCTTTGAATTTGTCTTGTCGAGAATATCTATTTGATTATAAGTTTGTCAGATTCAAAATTCATTTGACCTTACAATTATGCATTGAAAGTTCCAAAAAATGATTTAACAAATTGATTTGACTCGGATAGAACCAACACTGGTACTACTGATCTGTCTCGGCGAGTCGGTTAGTTTGACTATAAGTTTGTTTAAATCAGAGTTCTAGATGACTTTAATAAGATTGAATTTTTTTTTAAAAATTATCTCGAGATTTATGTCATGACTCAAGATTAATATTGAATGATGGAAATTTGTTGATGGCCTATAAAGGTTTTCTCATAGTATTTTTTTACTGTTTATATTTTGTTAAATATTTGTTAGCATTTTTAAATGTATTAAGCTTAAAATCATAATTCGGATAATAATAATAATATTTAAATAAAAAAACCGAAAATATTTAGAAATTTTAACAATTTGAATTTAATAATAATATATATATAATTTAGGGATATATATATTATTATTATTACGCAATCAATAAATTTTCATTTTTTTACATGAATCTCAAGATTCAAGAAAATCTTTTGAGCAAGAAATGTTCAAACTTAAATTAAGAGATTCAGAAATCTGATTTCAACAAACTTGATCGGTCTGACGAGATGAACCCGTTGATATCAAAATTGGTCAAATCCGAGTCAAAACAAGCTCAGATCATGCCATTAAACCACTTTGGAAGCTTTCTAAGTATATTTGGAAGGTAAACTGATGACCAATTTGGTGAGCTTATTGTAAAATCGAGCGTCTCGACAAAACGAATCCAACGAGCTCAAGATTGCTCAATTCTAACATTTTTAAAGCACTCAAATAACTATCAAATATCGGCTGATCAAGAGAACCTCTTTAGTTCGTCAAATCAAAGTGATTCATATTCCGATCAAGGGAACCTCATTAGAGCCCCACCGCTCTTATGCTGAGAGAGTAGAGCTTGAAGTTTGAAAAAGAGCTTGAGGCTCAGAGAAAGAGCTGAAGTCCAACATTACCTCGTCGTCGGTCATCGTCAACCACAAGTTACTGACCTCCGCCGACCATCATTCTCAATAGGGCAGGCAAAATTTTTAAGTATTTAATTATATTTGAAGTACTGGGGCAAAGAAGCATATAAGAGGCAGGGTAAAATTATTAAAATTTTTAAATTACATAAGAAAAATTAATTAAATTGTATTAATTAAAAAACAAAATTACAAATTTGAGGAAAAGTTGCTTCATTGCTGCTCTAATTCTCAAAAGACTCTAATTCTCAAAAGAGTATTACGCTGCATGTATGCAAACTTTGTATACAAAAATATTACACATCATTATCACCAGAACTCGTCTTCCTTCTCAGCCGTCTCAAACAATCAAAGCCGGCAACGTCATCTCCTCTGCTCTCCCCCAAAAAACAGAGCTTTCCACCGCCGCCGCCCCCGGCCGAGGCAAAGTTTCCCTTTTTACACCCATATTCCCCGCTTCCATAGCCAAGCTTACCGTCGGAACAACGGAGCTGCGGCATATGGGACAGCTTGAATTCACTCGAAACCATTCGTCAATACAGTCCAGATGAAAAGCATGGTTGCATCCCCAAAGAACACGACCCAATTCGTTCTCCGCGAGCTCCGCGAGGCAGATGGCACAATCCGAGTTGGCGGAGCTGAAGACTGTGATGGGGAGCGTCTTGAGGACGTCGGAATCCAGCGCCGAGCGGGAGGAGGAATGCGAATCCATTTGATTCTTGACGCGGAAGTAGACGAATAGGATGATGACGAACAGGGCGGAGAGGACGACGACGGCCGGGAGAACGATTTTGATGGGAAAAAGGGTTGATAGAGTGAGGGGTTCGTCGCCGCTGTTCAGCTCCGGCGAGCTTGCCATGGCTTGATTTTGAACGATTCTGAGCTAGCTTATGCAAAATTGGGAATCAGTTGGGCAGGAACAGAGTTTATTTATATAGAGAAAACAAAAACAAAAAAAACATTGGATAGATTTGCAAAGAAAACAAATTTCTTTTTTTGATATAATTTAAAATCATTATAAATTTGGATAATTACATTATTTACATATTCACACCTGAGTATGTTTGTAAATATTTACACGTGCCACCATCAAATTATTGAGAATTTAATAAAAATGAAAAAATATGATATCATATCGGTAGAGCATTTGCCAAGTCACAAATAAATAATGTATTCACAAACATTAAAAAAATGGGTTGAATTATTTTCATATTCGATTTAATATTCGAGTTTTTAAAAAGTGTTTATACGTGTTTATTTATTAATTTAAATAAATATGAACGAGTATTAATCGAGTCAAATTTGAATTGTTCAGGAAGTGCTTGTTGATAACAAATTAAAGAATTTTTAAAATATATATAAGGGGCTGTTTTGGAACTCTTTTATTTTTAATTTTTATTTTATTTTATTTATATTTTGATCTAAATTATAACATGTTTTATAGAGATTTTTATTTTTTAAAAGTATTCAAAATCATTTTTCATTTCTAGACATTTCTAAAAATAAAAAATAAAAATATATAAAATTTATATCGATTAAGTTTATTTTCAAAAATAAAGGAAAAATAAAAAAGAAGATTTAATACATAGAATTTAAATATAAATGACAAATAATTAAATATATATGAGTATTTTAATTTATAGCCGATAATAATTATCTGTATTAATTTTATAATATGTTAAATAATTAAATTTAATTTGCCATTTTGATTTTTGTGGAGTAGGGATTGAGTGCCCTGAAAGAAATAATATTTTTCTAATATTGGTGATTTTACATTTAATTATTAAAGAATATTAAACAGATAAGAAAATAAACAGAAAAAAAACAGATTATAGATGACGAGATCAACGCAGAGAAAGAAGCAGAGATAAATTCTTAAAGCCACATTTGCATCAAATTGATGAAATTTTATTTTTTAAATTAAAAATAGCTTTGAATTGAATAATAATATACAAAAATGTGTTGCGTACTCCGGCCTGCTGGTTAGCATTTACGGTATAAGAATCCTTAGATCGGGATTTTGAATCTCCTCTAACACAGTTGGCCTTAATGAGCTGGTACTCAAATTGTTACGCATATTAGGAGTCGCTGGAGACTCGTATAATAACATCTGGTCATTCCTTAAAAAAAAAAAAAACAACAATCTTATAAAAATATTTTCAATCAGTAAATTTAAGCAAAAATTAAAACTAAATCATATTATTTTAATTTAAGATAATGATTTTGAATATTTTGAATATTTTGAATAATATTCTAAATAAAAAATTTAAGGCATTATATTTTCGCTATATGCATTTTTAATATATTATTTTTGATATACAATGAAAATCAAAAGATTAAAATTAAATAATATTTTGAACCAGCTGGATCTTAAAAAAATCGAACCAGTTCAACCTCACTTCCAACCTATGCAATCTCGGTTCTATGCAGAAACGGTTCTGAAATTTGACCATACCGGTTGAGACCGGTTCACGATTGAACTGACCGGCCCGATTTGTTAGAAAAGTTAACTTTAGAGGTTTCATATATAAGTACATACCAATTGCGTGATATATGCATGTAAATACTCCAAAATAAAAATTTGATTTGCATATAATCTACTAAATTTATCTTCTTATAATCTCACATCAATAGGCATTTATTAGGTTGCTCATCGAACAAAATTACAGATTGTTGTGTTAGAAAATTTGTGGCAGCAGAATAATAAATTAACATTTTAACATTGCACAATGGTCAATCACACAGACAAATAAATGAAAAGTAGCAGTGGGAGATATCATGATTTTTATGCGGAAAACTCGGGAGAAAAAATAATCAGGAGACCCAGCCTTATCAAAGTAATCAACCATGTAAATATGACAATATAGGTTCACTCTTCTATTGAAATATGGAAGATGAAATTACAAAGGACAAGAGTTGTTCTACTTTAATAATCGCAATTTAAGCTACAACAAATATTTTTCTTGGTGGTTTTAATACCCTCAAATTGTCGTTGAGGCTTTATTTAAAAGTTGTAGTATTGACCGTTGTTGTAGCTTTAGGTGTGTCAGTCGGCCATTATGGAGAGTTGTAATAGCGTTGGCCAACCACAATGGTCATAATGAATGGTTGTAATAATAGCAGGAGACCAAGTAGGTCGTAGTAGAGAGCTGCACTAACTTTCATAGGCCACAAATGTCGTAGTGGGGATTTGCATGAACTAGGAGCCACACATATCGTATTCTGTCACATAGGCCGTAGTGTTGAGCTGTGATAGTATTGATTAGCCACAGAGACATTAGCAGAGAGTTGTAATGACAAAAATCAACCACGTATGTCATAGTATGGAGTTGTACTAACATTCATAGGCCACAAACGATGGAGCTAGAAGCTGCATGAGCTATGAGCCACGTAGGCCAAAGTTGGTCGCATAAGTCATGGTGGTGAGCTGCAATAATGTTTGTAGCCATATAGGCTAAATTTAGAAGCTACAATAATATATGTAGGCCATAAAGGCAAGAGCTGGAAGCTGTGATAACATTCGTAGGCTACAGGAGCTAGAGTTGGGAGCTACATGAGCTTTAGTTCGCCACTAATGTCATAGAGAGAAGTTGTGAGGAGGTAACTTTAGGAGTCTGAAGAATGTTGTCGTATCTTGAGTACAGTGGTCGTAAGTCATGACAATTAGAAATTATCATTATATCTTTAATATGGTGTGATTTGTTCTACCCTATTTGGGGCTTGTTGTTATAGTGGATTTAGGGTATGTTGTTACACTGTATATGAGGTGTATCGTTACATCATCTTTGATGTGCATCATTACGTCACAATATATGTCGCGACTCCAGAAGGTGCTTCATTGCAACATCTGTCGTTACTCCGTAAGGTCTGCCAATTACGACAAGCGTATAGAAGGTGACAGTGGGCGACAATGGCTGACGACTGATAGTCAATGGTGGTCAATATCTGGAGGAGCAAGAAGTGTTTGTTGGGTCTTCAGTCCTAAAAAACACTTAAAATTGACCTCTTCTTCTTCTTCTGATCAAGGCCTTGGTATTTATCTTCCATTAAGTCTTGATCTTTCAGTCCCTCTTAATGAAGCGGGTAGGGATTTATTGATAGAACATGCTAGTGACCTTTCATGTAAGCAAGCAAAAAAATTGAACCACTCCATTGGACAATCAAGAGCGATCTCTTTGATTGCACAATATTTTATGGACATTTGAGTGTTTTAATGATGTCAGAATTGAGATATCTTGGGCTCATTGGATTAATCTCGATGCAACTATAAGATTGTATTCATTTGATCACACAAAGCTTTCAAATATGATTTAATGCTTGATCTAAGCTTGATTTGATTCTAATTAGATTAATCTTGGTGTCATTGGGTCCGTCTAGTCGAGTCAAAGTTTTGTATAATTTTAAATTTTATTTTGAGCATCTTTTGCACAGAAATGACTTGAGATTTATGTCGCATGATAAAAATTTGTTGATAACCTATTACAAATAATCTTTTAAAATTTCTCCATAAGTTAAACAGAAAGATGCAACTTGTGATTAAAACCTTTTGTTAGAGTCTTGAAGCATGCAAGACAACATGGGAATTTGTGGCAGTGCAATGATTAATTAACATCCTGACATTGCATGAGAATCCTGTACACACTCGGGTAATAGAAATGATGAGTAAAAACACTAAGATTTTTTTTTTATGGAAAATCTAAAAAGAAAATTTTTTTATGGAAAATCTAAAAAGAAAAAAAAAAACCATGTGATCTGACCTAACTGAATAGGTCAATTATAAATTGGTGATTACAAATATACTTAAATATACTAAAATGATGAGTGCGACACTTTTCTGACATTTAACACGTTAGTTATAAAAACAATCCATAAACAAAGCTTTACTGATGGTTTTCATACATAAAAAAACCGATCGGTGCGACACTTTTACAACAATTGACATGTCAGTTATAAAAAATGACTCATAAATGATGTATAACCGACGACTTTGTCTGCTTCAAAACACTGACGACGTATATCTCATTGCTCGTACTGACCGACGAACAATCGATTATGCAAATCAACGATTGTCGAGAACTCGATATTTCTCGAAAAAATCTACGACATTAAATTGTTGGATAACCATAAATAAATTTGTACCGTCGGAATATTAGTCAATTTTTGTAATTAACGACAAGTGTTTTACCTAAAAGGTTAAAACCATCGGTAAACCTTTCGTAACTTTAAAAGAAACTATTTTTCTTATTATAAACAACGGATTGTGGCCGTGGGATAAAGCCAAAATTCCAGTAGTGCTCTTTTCTCTTAAAATCCAATTATCTAGTACATGCCACATCACATCCATTCCTTAGTGAATCTTTTTGGTTTATAAGAGTCGGTACATATATATTTGATATGACATCAACAAATTTTCTTCTTCCTGTACGAATTTGGAGGCATGACATAGATCTCAAGACAATCTTTTTAGCAGAAAACATTCAAATTTCAATTCAGAGTTAACCAGGCCTCCAATTTTAGCAAACTTATAGTCAAACTGACCGGTTCGACGAGACATACTCAATGATATCAAAATCAATCAAATCCGAGTTAAATCAAGCTCAAATAAAGCATTTAAATATCTTTTAAAAGTTTTCAAGACACATTCCGAAGTTTAAACGAATGTTCGAATGTGGTAAGTTTATAGTCGATTTGAGCGTCTCGACAAGACTCAACCAAAGAGCCCAATCCATTTAATTACGACATCACTAAAGCCCTCAATTGTCCATCAAATTTCGTCTAATCGAGGGAACATCTCCGGACTGTCGGATAAAAGTGGTTCATATTCTCACATTCATTGTACCTGGAACTCTATAAATGGAG